AGGCTCTAGCAGTGTATGCTTTGAGGCATTAAACATTGGCTGGCAGGTAGCCTTGCAATTTGCACTCGCTGTGCCTTGGCTCTTTCTGGGCTCGCACTGAAGGCTGAGTAATAAAATCCTCCCTCTAGTGGCTCCAGCTCAAACATGATCTTACCCTACAGAGATCAGGCCTGAGTGCCCGAGACACTCTGGAGCCTGAGGACTGGCGTTCCACTGCTGAACAGCTGATCCTCCTGAAGGCTATGCACACACACCTCCCAGCTGGGCCAGTGTGACCCCAGATGACCCTGCATCCTGACCGATGCACCCACAGTCATAGGGCACACGATCACCAGCCTGTACCCAGCCATGGCTGAGGATGCTTATCTTACTGGCTTGCTATTTGAGGGCAAGAAACTGTCTGGCTTTCCTCAAATTCAAGTTCAGAGTCCTCTGCCTTCTTCTAGCTAGTGGACATCCCAAGCGTCTTGGGGAAAGGGAGGATATGATAGCTTGATGATCTTTGTAACAATGTTACTGACTCTTTCCCCTTTTTGGTTATGCTGGTGGGGAGAGGCTACTGTCATTTGGGCGGCAGCATTTAAACGGCCGGACAGGCTAGGGAGCCTCGCCTTTCTCCCATCGATACTGCATGCAATTCAAGACGTAGAATTATAGTCTTCACACTGCACTGGACAGAGAGAGCCACTACTCATGAAGGGCATGGATGCTGGGGTGACTGGGACTCTAGGCAGCAATCATACAGAGGGTAACTGTACGATTACTTTCTTCCAACCCACAGGTCCACCTTCCCACTTCTCAGACTAAGAGCTCATGTTGAAACCAGTTAACCTTTCGGCAAAGTTTAGTTTATCCACGAAAGGTCTGCCCCTTCTGTTTACTGAGCCAGCATGTCACTAGGTCAAGTTCCATTTACAGAGAAGAGGTTTTCCTAAGAGTGTTTAGGAACCTCTGTAAGGGGATAGCCCCTGTACCCATGCATTCTGCGTGTGTAGAGTTAACCAGTTCTTGATGGAAAATATTTTGGGGGGAATAAAGCCTCTGCACTACACATGTATGGACTATTTTCCCATCATTATAGTAACTATCAGAGAGCATTATATTACATTAGCTATCATACACGATCTAGTGACAACTCTGTATAGGCAGTTATATGTAAATACTACACAAATTTATTATTTAAGGGACTTTTAAGTTTGTGTGGGTCTGGGCCTCTGTGGAGTCCTAGAATCCATCCCCCGCAGCAGATATCAAGGGATGACTATCCAATGTAGTCAGGCGGATACCCATGGAGCTTGAGACAAACACTAGAACAAAGAAAAGGTTAACGAAGGTTAACAAAGCCCCAAGGTGCCAGGTAACTGGGTGCCTCCTGTGACCTCTGCCATATTCACAGGGAAGGACACAGAAGTGTGTGGTTAGTATGCACACACGCTAGGCGAGGCCAGGGTAGGGCCTATGGCTTACATTCTGTCTGACAGATGCCCCTTCTGTCTGACACCATGCTTACCCTATGCTGTGATACCTCTGTCTTTGAAGTACTGGTCAGCACCAAAGGGGACATGCTGCTTCTCCTCAAGGGGATTTCTCAGCGTGGCAGGTCTCTTATCTAACTCATTCTGCACTCCAGGGGCTGCAGGAACCATTCAGAAATAAAGGGAGGGCCCACAAGATGCTGCAGTGAGTAAGGACCTTGCAGTCCAGCCTCAGGACCTGAACCTGATCCAAGATTACATGGGAGGGGAGAGAAGGGAGGAGGCAGGGCAGGAGGAGAAGAGAGGGAGAACTCACACGAGCTGTCCTCTGACCACCACGTGTGCTGTGCTGCATGAACAGCCTTCAACCGAACATATACACAACAAATATATAAATAGCTATAAAAATGTGGAGCTTTTTCTTATTCCCTCCTTTAACCACTATGGTGAGCCAACGCACAGACAATACTATGCAAACTCCATTAAAACATTTGATCCACTTTGGGTAGGAGTCAATTTTCTGTATTACATACCTCCAGTAAAGCAAGGGAGGGAGGGAAAAGAGAGCTCCTCCCTCCCCCACTCCATGAATGCCATCTGGTAACAGTAAAGAGAGCTCAATTTTTAAAGGCTATATTGCTTAATGGGATGAGATCATTTTGACACGTTTGTGTTGGCTGCACACAGGATTCTGTTCTAAACAATGGAAGGGGACCTGATGTTTTTAGTTTTATCAGGGGCTGAGGACCCATGCAAGAGCATGCGCGTAGGTTGTCAGAGGCCCAGGGTTGTTACCAATACCGTAAACCAACCCGAAACCCCCAAGCAGACAAAGGGTCGGGTAGTTTTGTCTGGACTTATGCCAAGGTGAGATGTGACGTTTAAGGTCACAGCACAGATTTAAGCAAGTGGTCACAGGGAAGGTTTCTCAGTCCCTTTGGAGAAAATGCGTTTTTGACACAGTCATATGGAATCTGACGTCATTTTCAGCTGACTTCTGAGCCACTCTCCTGGGCTGAGGCTGAATCAGCAGAGATGTGGGCTTTATCTACTTACAAAAGAAGGACCGGGAGACTAGAGTTTCAGATGTTTTTATTCAAAGGTTCTCAAAAGAAATGAAACAGAAAAAGCTAACAATCTGATCAAATGTACAGTTCAAAAATGTCTTTTGGCGTTTTAACAAGTCCCAGGAAAGAAAACTACAGAGTCATCTTGAAGCGGTAAATAAGTCACCGCTGGCAAGTATGTAGCACTAGTAGAACAAAAATAAAAAATTAACTCTCTTGATCATATAGATATCTCTATGAAAATCTTTTTTTCAATCTGTACAAAAGGTCTTTCTTCATAAATTAACTTTTTTTTTATAATTTAATGGCTGTCTACTATGTGATGTTTAACTGACTTTTTCTTTTCTTTTTTTAGTATGTACAGAGGTTGTTTCCCAAATCTGACCCAGACGAGTATGGCACTTAGTTCAGACAAACCTAGCAGCAGATTTCCCCTCCCCTACTGACTGAGCTATCCTCTTTCTGTCTTAAGTAATGGAAAACATATCAAGTAGTGAGAGTCCCGGGCTGATAAACATAGTAGGTACACGGAGACGCGGAGGGCGCTGCATTCAGTCTGGACTTCCACAAAGCACAATGTTTTAGGGAGCATAGAACCAATAATACCACAACTTCTTCAAAAAAACAAAACAAAATTAAAAAAAAAAAACCCGAAAAACAAAAAAAGGAAACAGGAACAAAACACATTTCTCATTTCTCTTATGACTATGTAATTTTCACTAGAATCTACACTTCTCAGAGCAGCAAGGACGTTTGAAACTATGAAATGTCACTGACATCTATCATCAAATACGAGCAATAAAATTTAAGAACTAAAAAATACTCAAAAGAAGCAACTGCTTAGCCCTAGCTCCCGAGCTAGGAGGATTTGGTCGGTGGAAACAGGGAGGGCCAGCAACCTGTCCCAGCACAAAAAGAAATAGCCTCTGAGGTAGATAACTGATCATACACAGCTGACCAGACAAGTACACAGTTTTGGAAGACAACTTAATTTACCATTGCTTTTAAAACGTATGCAATTGCCATAATAAAAGAGCATTAATAACAATGACTTATCTCATATGTACTAAAGTAGAAATAACTGTTTATGAATCAGGAATTTCATAGTTTCAAAGTTGGTTTTCTTTACACTTAAACACCTGTAGTGACGACGGAAAGTGTGGCACGGCTTGGGTTCAAATCTTCCTTCATGCTTTTTTTTTTTAATTTTTTTTTTAAATTTGTCTCTGTGAGTCCATACATCAGTTAAAATTATAAAACCTAATGCAAAGGTACAAAAAAGGCACGTTCTCCTAACCGCAAACTGGTCCGGCAAAAATTAAAGAGCAGAGAAAATGGGATGCTGAGACAAGGTGGAGTTACTGGCTACTGGCTCTTCGGTCTTTGGTGAAGTTACCTTTAAAAGTGCCAAGTCATTTTTTAGTTTTTCAGATTTACCTAATAGAGAGAGAGCGAGCGAGAGAGAGAGAGCTAGTAGCCAATCATTTTTCTTCTGTTCATATCTCAGCTCAGGTTTGAAGAGAAATTCTTGTT